CAGGAAGTATGAGCCTGATTTACAGGGGCACTACTGAGACTGGGCGAGTTAAGTGACAGGAAGAGGTGGCACAGGCAGGATGGAACTCATGTCCCTCTGATGCCACCTAAACCCCCAAGCCACCATCATGCAGATGCCAGGTCATGCTCCCCCAGGGCCTGGGTTTCGGGTGGGGGCACCGCCTGGAGGAAGTGGTATTTCAGCTGCTGCCAGGCTCACTTCCGGAGCTCAGTGCCCATGGTGGGCATGATGAGGTTGGCAGGTACACGCTGCCATGTGGGGTCCCTGATTAGCGTCCCCTGCTCTCTAATCACCCTGCCTGGGGCCACACCCAGCCTCCATCGAGAAGCCAGCTGTTGCTGGCCACCGTCCCCGTCTGGCTGGGCTCCAGGACGGGCCGCAGGCTGGCGTCTGTTGGTGGTGTTGGAGACTGGGCTACAGAACCGTCTGACCAGGCTGGGCCTCGGCGGGGTTGTGCAGATGCCCGTCATTTCTAAGCATTTCTGGACACAGTGGGGTGTGGGGAAGCACAGGGTTCTGGGCACACTGTCCAGGTCCCACTCCTGACTCTGTGTGCTATGTGGCCTTGGGCAAGTGTCTTTACCAGCCCGGGTCTCAGTTTCTTTAGCTGTAAAATGGGTTTCAAAGCAGAACTCATCTCCTAGGGCCATCAAAGGATAAACTGAGCCTCGAGGGGCTCAGCAGAGTCTCTGGCGGGCAGTGCTGTGCACACGTTTGCTACTGGTGGTGGTGCTGTATAATTGCTCCAGATGGGGTGAGATGGTTCCATCCGCCCATTTCCTGGGTGCTGCTTGGCACAAGACCACAAGAGGCCCTCGTGAGCTGTGGTGGCTCAGGACAAGAGCTCTACCCCTGGGAGGGCAGCTCCTTCGGCCCCGAAGCCCTGGAGCCAGTCACTGCAGGGAGGGCATGCTGTTTGTCCTCTTTGAGGTCACCTCTAGCACTAAACTTGGTTGAGGCCCTGGGGAAGCCCGGCCCGCTGTGCTCACCTTGATCACGGCTGGGCTCATTATGTAGCCTAGGCTGGCCTCAAACTCATGGCGATCCTTCCGCCTCAGTCTCCCCAGTGCTGGGATTACAGTCATGTGCCACCATACCGACCAGGGCAGGGCTCTGAAGTGCAAGGTGTTTTCTGACCCTGTAGCTGCCAAGTCCTACCCCTGACCTCGTGGACTCCAAAGGTTTGGGGTGCCAGCATTGCTCCCCTCAACACCTGCTTCCTTGACTGTCTCAAAGTGGGCAGGGCCATGAACTTCTGAGTCAGAGGGTTCGGGGCACGGAGCTGAGCTGGTCACTGTTGCCTGCACGAGCAGGAAGGGTGCGCCACCCTCTGAGCCCCTGGTCCTGCTTGGGCTTGGGCTGAGATGAGATCAATTAGCAGCAGGCACATGTGCTGCTTGCTTAACCCTTTCTGATCCTGTCTTTCATCCAATCGCGTCCACTCCTTACCCCTCCCAAGGGACGCCCTTTCTGCACACCCTCCTGCTGTGCAGAGGGACTCCTCGCTGTCACGCCTGAGTCTCCTTGGTCCCTGTCCTGCCTGCATCCCGGGTTTCAGCCAGCTGACTCCGCCTTCGTCCCGGACAAGCCCCCATAACCCATTTTACAGGAGAGGACCCTGGGGTGCAGAGTGGGCAGGCAACTTGCCAAAGGTCACACAGCTTTGAGACACGAGACTGGAATTTGGGTTTTGTGTCGTTCAGAGTCCACACTGTGATCCGGCTTATTATTCTGCCTCTGATGTGGGGCTGGGAACAGGGTCTCTAAAGGCAGCTGACTCCTGAGAATCCCCCTGGGAATCTGGGTCTTGTCGTTACGGGCTCTAGAATCTGGGGCTCCCAAAGCCTCTCAGACCATCCGTACCTGTCCCTCTGACTTACAGCTCCCATCCACACGTACAGGTGAGTTACGGTGTGCTGAGCTGGTTTCTCTGCAGCCCTGGGGTCAGAGCCTGGACCAGGGACTGCAGGCCAAGCCCTGTCCTCTCCGTGTGCCCCCTGGCATCCCGGGACTCAGGGCGGGGACTTGGAGCTCAGAGAGGTTGAGAAGCGGCCTTGGCTGGGCTCACACAGCAAACTGGGATTAAACTAGATCTTACGGGAAACCCAAGACGCCAATCCCGCCTGGCCTGGCAGCCTCACATTTCTCCCGGGCCCAGAATAACACTGGTGGTTTTTATTTTCTTTTGATTTTAACAACAACAACAACAACCGAATGTGAGACCAGAGATTGCAAAATACGATAGCGGAGGGTCAGAAAGCTGCCCCGACTGGGCTGGGGTTTCAGGAAATCCTCCGCCTGTCAGACGTGAAAGCAAACACGGGCCTGGCCAGCCCTTCCCACCAGAGTCAGGACAAAGTCCAGGGAGGCAGTGGCCACCATCCACACAGGTGCAAGGCCTGGGTGGGGCGGGCTGTCCACTTCCACTTTCTGCCCGGCCACAGGCTGAGTTCATGCCAGGGATCCGTGCCAGACTTCCCAGCACAGAGCTGGGGACAAAGGCCCTGCCTATGCAGCGGGCAGAGGTCCACTCCCAGCCCTCCCAGGAGCAGCGACAGCTTCCCAGGCTCCGAGCCCCCAGGCTGGGCACACACCGGGGGCTGCAAGAAGCCCACAGAGAGCTCCGGACTGTGGCTCAGGGAATCTGGGTCCTTCCAGTGACTGCCTTGACCCTCTTTGCTCTCAATTATGTATTGCTTACAGAGCGCCAGGCACTTAACACATACTCACACCTCTGGACCTCATGTAAGTCACGGTCAAGTTCACTTTACAGCTGGGTTGATTGTTTGGTTTTGTTTGTTTGCTTTGGAGACAGGGTCTCACTATGTAGTTCAGGCTGGTCTTGAACTCACTATGTAGCCCAGACTGGCCTCGAACTTACGATGAGCCTCCTGCCTCAGCCTCCCAAGTGCTGGGACTATAGGCGTGCACCACCTTGCCCAGCCTCGTTTTACAGCTGGGAGAACGAAAGAACAGGGGTGGACTGTCCAGGGCCACAGGGGGAGGACAGGCCGGGGCATCTGATGGACTGAGGCCACTGTCCGCGGGCTCGATGGCAAGCAACTGTTACAGCCGTGGGGCGGGGCGGGTCAGTGTCCCCATGTGCTGAGCAGGAAGTCCTTCTGCAGGGCCCCTGAGGCCCTGCGGCCAGCACGCGCAGAACCAGGCGTGGGACCCATGCGCCCAGTGCTCGTTCTGCCTCTCCACACGGAAGCACCGCTGAGCAAGGAAAGGGGAAGGGGTGGGGGAACAGAGCTGTGCACCCCAATTTCCCCGCCCTCCGCAGCGTGCTCGGCCCAGCTTGCTGTGTGACCTTTGGTCTCTCACTGTCTCTGGGCCCCTTCGAAAGGGCAGTGACCCCAAAGGTGTCAGGCACAGTGATACTGTGCTGGTAAACGACCCGGCAGCAAGTCTGCAGGGAGTCAAGGGTGGGTCAGAGGCGCGGGGAGCTTCAGGTGACACATTTTCCAGGCAGCTGCTCCCCCAGGAAACCAGGTCTGCTAGATTTCAGTGGGGGCAGAGGGCCGGGCCAGGCTCCCTGAGGGCGGAGCTCAAACTTGCAGGTGCCCAGGCTGTATGCCCAGGAGTGCATCAGGGCCTCTGGCCGGCACCAGGACCAGCGCCTCTTGATCCTCCAGCACAATCCCCGGACAGGGGCCCCTGCCCGAGAGCGTTTGCAAACCAGAAGAGAGAACCCCACGCCCAGCGGGGCTTTGTAGCCTGAGCAAAGGCGCCTACCGCAGGTGCATATTTTAGGACAAGCTCCCACCAGCTCTGTGAGGCAGAGGAAATTCACAGACAGACAGTCTTGGGGAAGCCACCCACAAGGCAGCCATGCCATTGCTGGGAAGGAGAGCCTCTGCCCGCAGATCAGAGTTGACCCACCTCTCCAGACCCTTCTTCTCCTCATCCCGGCCCGCACACCGAGCACTCGCTGTGGACAAAGCACGTTCAGGGCTCTGGGACACAGGGTGACAGAGACAGATGTGCCCCCTCCTCCCAAGGAACCTGCACCCTCGTGGGGATGCAGACAAAGAGGCCGGGTGACATCTGTAGATGCTGGTGCCTGCGCCTGGCACTGGCATGGGCAGGGTCCTCTGAGCAGCTGGCAGTGAGAGCTGAGTGTAGATCAGGAAACGAGATCCCTGGGAAGACCAATTCTGGCAGAGGAACAGCAAGTGCAAAGGCCCTGAGGTGGGCAGAGGCCACGGGCTCTGGGCCAATAGGGAAGAGACTAAGTGGAAGGCCAGGGGTAACAAGAGGGAAGAGGGACAGGGCAAACCACAAAGAGCCCATTGGCTACATAAGGAGTCTGGGTTTTTTGTGTGTTTTGAGACAGGGTCTCACTATGTCCAGGTTGGTCTTGAACTCACTGTGTAGCTCAGGCTGGCCTCAAACTCCCAGCAACCCTCTGCCTCAGTCCCCCACATGCTGGGGATTATAGATGTGCACCGCCATGCCCAGCTTTTGAGACTGGATTTTATAGCCAGTGAGTTGTTGGCTGCAGGCGGAGAGGAACAAGATGCAGGCTGTGTTCCCGGCGTCCTCCCTGCCGTGCGGATAAGGGCTGGGAGGACAGGGCTGGAACTGTGACCCGCAGGCCTGCGCTGGTCCAGGCAGAGGGGAGGCAGCCCAGGGCTCGCTGGGGCTGTGGGGCCGGAAGGAGGAGGCACGTGGGCTCTTAGGTGTTGGGCCGAGCACTTAGTGGGGACAGTGGCCACTCACCGCCCTTCCCTGGACCCTACAGCACTTAGAGCTGCGAGTGCCGCCTGTGGGGACCTATGGAAGCCCCGCCTTGGTGTCTCCTAAGGGCGCCGGTGTTGGGAGCTATTAAGTGCAGAGCATTTTGCAGCAACTCGGGCAGACTGTCCATGTGTGGGGCTGAGCATCTCATGGACCGGAAGTCTAATGCAGGGCGAGTCAGAGAGGAGACTGGCTGCCCCCACCCCGGTGACAGCGCAACCTTCTGTCCCTGATAGGGCCCGTGTCTCCTGGACTCGCCTTCTGAGGATTCGCTAAGGAAATCACTGCGCCGCTCGTCACGGGACAGGTGAGGAGGAGGGGGTGGGAGGGCAGTCACTGGGGTGAGGTCACACTGCGGTGCCTTCGGGCGGCGGCCAAGCCCGAGCCTCCTGACACTGGGCCTAGAATCACCATGGTCCCCCCCTTGGTCTCCCCAAGGCTTTTCAGGAACCTCTGGGTCCCAGGCCAGGCTGCAAACTACTCCTCCAGCCTAGGCCAGGGACTGATTCGTGGGGGAGGCGGCAAAACAGAGAGGTGACCCCTAGAGACACCAGCCTTTCTCAGCCCCAGCTCCTGCACCCACGGACCTCGAGGACGTGGGAAGGCGGGGCAGTGGGTCCTGCATCCAGGGCACACCCTTGAGTGAGGACAGAAGAGGCCAGAGCATGGTCTCAGCTGACTCAGGGGCAGTGGGTGTCTGACTCCTTTAAGGTAGCTGCGCACTTGAAGTACTGGTGTCCCTGTGGCAGTCCCTCCTGCCCTCCTCCCCACCCCATCCATCCATCTACCCAGCATGCATCCATCCATCCATGCATCCACTGACTCAGCTATCCATCTACCCACCCATCCACCCATCCACCCACCCATCCTTCCACCCATCCACCCACGAACCACCCACCTATCCACCCACCCATCCTTCCACCCCTCCACCCATCAACCCACCCTCCTATCCATCTACCCATCCTTCCACCCATCAACCCACCCTCCTATCCATCTACCCATCCTTCCACCCATCAACCCACCCTCCTATCCATCTACCCTCCTTCCACCCATCCTTCCACCCATCCACCCATGAACCACCCACCTATCCATCTACCCATCCTTCCACCCATCAACCCACCCTCCTATCCATCTACCCTCCTTCCACCCATCCATCTACCCATCCCTCCATCAACCCACCAACCTATCCATCTACTCATCCTTCTACCCATCAACCACCCATCTATCCATCTACCCATCCATGCATTCATCCATTCTGCCATTGATTCATCTATCTGTCTACCCATATATCCATCTGTCCTGTCACTCACCTTAGCATCCATCCATCCATCCGTGCATTTATCTACCCATTGATTTATTCTCTCAGTGGCATTCTTGATCAGCTACTTTGTCCTCCTGAGGAACAAATAGTCTTCCCCCTCCAGCATCACAGCGCATGGGCAGAGGACAAGTAGAAATTACTGTACAGCAGGATGAGCTACAGTAACTGCCATTTCCTGACAGCTGACCATATGCCAGGCATTTTAACCACTTTAGCTAATTTAGTATCTGGAAAAATCTGAGAAACACGTTCCATCTTCCTCATTTCACAGATCAGTAGAGTGGGGCTCAGAAGGGTTCAGTCACATGTCCAAGGTCACACAGCTAGGAGGTGACAGACCTGCATTCAACTCAGGCAGTCTCACGCGGGAGCCTATTCTGGGGGCTACTCCATAGCCAGTGCTACCGGAAAGAAGCTCCTACCCACCCTCTCTCCTGGGGGCCAGGCATGAGTGAGGCGGGGCTGGCTGGAGGAGGGGTCTCCTGCAGGAGGCATTGTCTGGGGCGAGGAATCAAAACAGCAGTTAGTAAAATATCAGCAGAAGAGTTTCACTGTATGGACAGATTTGCAGAAAAGGATACATCCGGGGAATTTGAATTATAGCCTGGACATGGTCACCGTGCCTGCTGTCCCGTGAGCGGCGTTCGCGCTGCCTTTCCTGGTGGCAGGGCGCTGACGGACCCCAGCAAGGAAGCCCCCCGCCCCCGCCGTGTACAGCAGGTGCACACTAGAAAGGGCACCGGAGGACATTCTGCAAACGAGACACTCGTCCCTCACTTCTGCAAGGACCCAGCCAGCTGGCGCTGACGACAGACACGGACCCGGCGAGGCTCACGGAGCCCCGGGGGTGCCAGGCGCTGCCCTCGCTGTCTCCATGGCAGCAGGTGCTAGGAGGACCCACCCCACGGGGAGGCGACGGCCAGGCAGGCTCTTCCCTGGGGCCACACGCTGGCGCAGCTGGATCTGGGCCCGGTCCTGGACGCTCGTCTCCTCTCCGCTGCTGTCCCTCTGGCCCCAGAGGGCCCATGCACAGGGCACCCTGCTCCTCCTGCAGACCCTGTCGCGGACCCCTTTGCCCCCAGCACCAGGACCTGGAGAGAAATGTCGTGGGCGAGGGCTGAGGTGGTGGTGGCCGCAGACACCGACGTTTGAACTGCATGGCATTTCCAGGTGTTCCAACGTGTCTCCCTCTCTTTTTAGTATTCAGAAATGTAAACTCTGTTCTTCGCTCACAATGGACAGGCGAGGCAGGCAGGGACGGGTCAGTCGGCCGAGTCCTTACTTCTCCCGGGCAAGGACAGGCTGAGGCGCGTCCCCCGGGCTGGGGAAGGCAGGGCTGGGACACAGCCCAGGCCCTCAGAAGCCAGCGCCGGGGTCTCCACAGCCTGACACGCCCACACCCGCAAGGCAGAGACTTATCCAGGGCTCACCCTCCCCAACCGGTTGCCCCAGCCACCCCCACCCC